TAAAATGAAATAGCCAGAAAAGCACAAAAAAAGGAGGTGTTTTTTTTTTTAGTTTAGTTCAGGTAGTAGTTAAGTAGGGAGAGAGAGAGAGAATGATACAGTCGAGCTGCATACCATGATCTGATTTTTGGTAGAAGTAGATACAAGATGTCACTCGCAGCCTCAGAGACTCCAATATCTTATTGATCAGAAGGCATTGACAGCTCTTATTGACCGGCTGCAGAAAGGTATCAAGCAAATGCTCACATTCACGGCCCTTGTAACAGTACAGGAGGACAATATCAAGCAGGCTAGGGGTTCCCCTCCCCCCAACTCCGGGAACCACGGGCAAAGACAAAAACGAGAGGCAATCAAGCGAGCTCAAAGACCTTCTGCTCTTGATTCTGGCCCTGAGCAAGAGACGCAGGACGGGGAAGCTGCCCGCTGTCGATCTCCGAGATGGCCACGGAGCCGCGGGCGTGCTCGACGCTGTTGGCCCAGCTGGAGCAGTGCGCCATCCTCTCCTGCTGCCGCAGCGACGGCGACGGCAGCGACGGCGAGGTGGCCGAGATCGAGGTCGCCGTCTCGGATCCCATGCGCTTCTGCTCGTCGATGTCGGCCTTGAACAGCAGCCGGTCGACCAGCACCGCGTGCGCCCGCCGCAGCGTCTTCTTCACGAAGCCCGTCGCCAGGACGTTGCAGCGCATGTTGACGTCCTCGCGCAGGTACAGCCCTTCTCGGGGGGCGCCGGGGATGCCCAGCTCGACGGTCTCGCGAGGCTCGCCGGGCATGTTGCCGCCGACGCTCCATTTCTCCTGGATGTCGAGGCCGGTGGGCGCATAGACGTGCGTCTGCAGGCCGCCGGGCAGGTCGTGGAAGCAGGCCTTGTACGAGACGTTGCCGGACAGCAGGCCGCCGGGCAGATACTGCACGCGGTCCGTCAGCTCGTACCAGACGCAGTGGAATTCGTCGGCCGGCGCATGGGACGGCGGCGAGCAGCGCTTGAAGTCGATGACCAGGGGGTTCAGCTTGATCATCTCGCCGTGTTCGTGGAGGGTGCGCACCACCATCTCGCGGGTGATGTACGGCGGCAGCGGCGTGACGGAGGTGAAGACGCTGCGCTTGTACATCTTGCTGGCTGGGTCGAGTTACAGGCAGGCAGGCCGGGGTAGCCGGTCGACGGACTGGTTGACGGGTTATACGGGTTGGACGATGATCTACGGAGTACCGGGGGGGGTTTTTCTTTTATTATTATTATCTGGACGGGAGGCCTGGGTGGACTGAGGAGGTTGCTTTGCTTCCTGTCAGCCGCAGCCTTGTCCGCCGCTGGCGGCTTGGTAACCTTTCCTCTGCTCGACAGACGCTGGATAGAACGCATCCAAGAGTCGAGAGACGGCCAGAGAGCATCGAGAAAGGCCGGGTGGGATCCCTTGGCATGCTTGTGGGTGCGATCGAGGCTGTCTGGCGGGGATAACAGCTATATCAGGGCGGGATATCAGGCGGTTAGCCGGACGGGATACCTGCCAGGCCAGCGGTGTCACTACGAATGAACGCAGTGACTACGAACGAACACTGCTCGGACAGAGAACAGCCCGAGATGCGAGCATTCCGCACACGATGCAACAGTGACCTCTCCGGAGCGAGGACAGAGAGGCATGTTTCACCTCTGTTGAGGCCAGCGGAAGACGCCGCCGGAGATCTCGCGGACCTGGGCGGTGTCTAGTGCAGAAGATGTGTCTCTTTCCAACTGGAAGAACCTCCCAGGATACGCCCCCTTTGTCTCTCTTGCGGCGGTCGAACTGGTCTGGCTGGGCATATCGCCATCTGAACGGACGCAGATCCAGTCTTTTACTCCATACGCTATGGCCAGCGCTGTCAATAATAATACGAGAAAATGGAGGATGCCAAAGAGTGGAAAGTCAAATATCAACTGCGAACTGCTTATTTTTGGGTCAAATCTAAGACATCAATCGTGTTTTGCAAAAGGGGATGTCACCGCTGTCTGCTGAGAGCCTGCTGGATATAAAAGACTGGCTGCCCTGCTGTTGAGCCGGTAGATTCCCCCAGATCAGCATCCAAATCTGCATCCAACTATTATTTTCACGGCTTCACTAGTTACAGCAGTCCCCACTATCAACTTCCAAAAGAGCCGTCACAATGCGTTTCTCCAGCATCATCTTCTCTGTCCTCTCCCTCGTTGCCTTCTCCCAGGCCGCTGAGTGCCCTGCCGGAACCCAGCCCAACTGCTGCCAGAACATAAACGAGAACAAAGTCGGCTACTACTGTGAGTGAACTTGACGAATCGTTGGACACCTAGGCGTAGTCAATGACTGACAAAGAAATAGGTGCTGAGCCAGGTGCTACCTACTGCCAGGAGCCCGGCCAGTCTCTCATCCCAGTCTGCTGCAAGAGCTACAGCAACGTAAGTCACCCTCAGTTGAAGCTCACAAATAGATAGTAAGGTGAGCTAACTGGGACATGCAGACTCCACACGGCTACACCGGCCTCGAGTGCACCAAGCTTTGAATTGGCACTGAGATATATATAGACATGTTATATATATAATATATATATCAATAATAAATATTTACCCTTAATCTATATAAACATAACCGAGATTAAAAAAAGTTCTATTCCTCCCGAAAGAAAAACCCCCCAAGTAACCAAAGTGTCAAGCCAAATGTGTCTATCAAGTAGAAAGCCATAGATCATGAATCCCCCAAGCGCCGGCCGTGAGACTGAGAACTCCCACCAGACTGGCCGGGACCCCTATTCCGCCATCCACGCTCCAATGCAGACACAGCGGCAGCCATGCAAGGTTGTTGACCATGCTCTTCCTCCACGCCTTGACCTTTGCTGCCATCTTGACAGCTTCTTCCTTGGTCTTCTCGCGGACTCCCTTCTCAGCCTCTCCAAGGTCTTTCTTTGCACCCGCTTGGCTCTTCTGTCCTTCAGCAGCAGCAATGTGGCTCTCCCGCGTCAGCCGGACAAATTCAAGAAGCACATGCACCAGCCACGCCCTGACACTCCAAAGGGACCACTTGGACAGACTGCCCCATCGCTCGACGGCGCGCTTGCTGAGAACCCCCTTGGAGGCCAGGAAGGCTACGTTTTCAAGCAGCTGGAAGAGCACGCAGGCGAGCACCTGGCCGTACGCAATGGCTCGCAGCACGGGATCTGCCGGTGGTGATTTGTATGTCGAGGAGCCCCAGGCCCAGAGCGGGAGGAGGCCGAGCAGCCGCAGCGAAGTGCGTGTCTCTGATACCAGGGATGCGAGAGCCAGCAGATGCGGGTGTGACGAAGCTGCTGCTGCAGCATTGCCGCCGGCGACCTTGAAGGGAGGAGAGGCAGCTGGTTTCCTTCCGAGGGCTGCGAGAGCCAGCCGGTTCAGTCTGCGTGAATGCGTGAGGGCGTAGTGCAGGATATGCGCCGAGTAGCCAACGGTAGCAAACGCCCGTTCGGTCCCATGCGCGCTGGATATGAATCTGCATCCTCTGTTAGCAGTAGTTCAGCCCCCAATGGCCAGACGAGCAAGACACTCACTTGTTCAGACGCAGGATGGTCGAGTCCACGGCTGCCAGCGCAGAGGGCGGCTGCTTCGACTTCTTCTCGGCCTCGACGGGCTGCGGCGCGATGTCCACCAGCACCGTCGACTCCGTCAGGCTCTCCTCCATCGTGTCTGCTTCTTGCTTCTTGACCGGCAGGCAGCGAGCAAGCAGTAGTAAATAACTAGTACTCCGTAATCGACGGTGGAAAGGGGGAAGTTCTCCAGGATTTAAATCGTGGCCGAGCAACACAACAGGCGCAATCTTTTCTCCGCCAGTTTCAGCCGAGGCCCGATTCTCGAAGTTAACTAGTTATAACTCTACGTAGTTAACTATTATATTGGAGTAGCCAAACAGTCCACGCCGGCCTCAGTTTTGTGTCTCTTCTGTGATCTCGTCTTCCGCTCCGGGTCTGTCTGCGTCCTTGTCTGGCTGCTCGTCCGGTGTAGAGGCAGCCTCCTGGTCGAGAGATGCAGATCGCAAGCGGTGTTCAACGCAGAACTTGGGCATCCGGACCAGTCGAGGCCGTCTCGGTGGTTGACAGGGGCGCTCCGTCAGCCTCTCTGGCGTCTTTGGTCTCTCTGGTGTCTTTGGTCTCTCTGGTGTCTTTGGCCTCTCTGGCTGGTCGTGGTCCTGGCCGTCCCTGCGGTTGAGCTGGCCGTAGACGAGATCCGACCAGCAGTCCTTCCAGGCATCGGCCGTGGATGATGGCATCGATACCCCCTGGCCGCGCCCCTCGTCGTTCCCGGGGAGCTCCGGGCGAGGGAGCGGCCGCCTGATCTCGCTCATGGGGATGTCGAAGATGCTGGCTGGCTGGCCGATGGCAGCTTTCTGGAGCAGCAGCTCGTTGTTCTCGCTGCACAGTCCGTTCAGGCTCTGCCATGCTCTCTCGTGGTGGCTCGGCCGGCAGCGAAGGCAGTATACCTTGTGGCATTCCGGGACGACGGGCCCGTCGTGCTCGCTGATGATGTCGTTGGTTCTGTCGCTGATGCTGTTGCTGGAGCCCCTTGCTGGCGCTGCGATACCCGGGGGCGGCCGCAGTGGAATACCGTACCATGCAAGCATGTCTGCCTCTGCCTCTGCCAGCTCGCGCTCTTCCGCCTTGCGCGTTGCCTCCGTGCGCATGCCCTCGAGGACGGACGCCCGCTGCTGCTTGAGTGTCGCGATCTCCTCCTCGGTGTAGTGGCCGTCCGCGATGGCCTTGCTCATCCAGTCGTTCAGGGGCAGCTCCAACTCCTGCTGCTGCAACGCCTCGGACGACAAGTCGGAGCCCGTCTCTGCCAGGCCGCGGATGAAGCCGTCGCTGAGAGTCCGATCCTGGTCTTCGGCGCAGACATATACCCAGCGCCTCCTATTGCCGAAGCCGCAGCGTGCGCACCAGAATCTGTTGTCAGCGTCAAGGACGCGGGAGGTGCAGACGTGCGTGCAATCCGCCCGCCAGTAGCCTCGTGAACTGCGACTGAGGCCCATCTAGTCTCTTTCGTCTCGATCGGCTCTGGGTTCTCGTTTATATATATATATATATATCTTTATCCTCTGCGGGGTGGCTCTTTTGTGCGGGAAGGGAGAGACCTGCTGAGCTGCTGCAGTGAAGCCACGGGGGATAAGAAAAAGATGGCCAGGAAGGAGTCAATGCTTAAGGCTACTGCTGGTTATGACGATTACGATTCTGGCTATCATAGCCCTATACTCTGATGGCTATGACGATGGGAGGAAGAAGTCTGCGTATAACTTTTTGGTGAAAGTGCAAACATGGGTCAAGAGAGACTTTGCCTTTCCACGGTGATTTTGTTCTACTTGATATTTTATGCCTAATATGGAGTTTATGAAGCCAATACAGCTATCGTGTATTTCTAGAGAACCCCTAATATAAGAATATCGAAGGTGATTCTACCTCTGTACATGTATCTCACTTGGTAGCAGCATAGCGGAGCCGCAGCAAAGCAGCATCTTTCCTCTATTCCTCCTCTGATATCCTGTATTCTCTTTTTTCTACTGTCATCCCCGTCATCCCCGTCATCGCCATCTGTCGTCTTCGTCTTCCTCTCGTCTTCTATATCTTGGCCGCCTTTTCCCGAGAATCGCCCAATCGGGTAATCAACTGCAGCTTCAACTTTTCCTTTTCGAGCCTTTTCGACTTCACCTTAAAATACTTTATTTCGACGACCTTTATCAACTTCATCAACTTCATCGACTTCACCATCGACTTCACCATCGCTGCCGTCTCTATCTACTCCGTATACTTAGTAGTGATCCCTGCCAACCTCGGCTGGACCACAACAAACAAACGCTAGCTCCAGCCCAGCCGGCTCGACGAACGCGACAAAACAGCCTGAAAAACATCACCTCGTCCCCTCCGCCCGGCCGTCCATAAAACCAGCCGCCATCGTCCGCTCGCACCAGCCAGAGACATCTCGCCTGTCCCGCCGCTGCTCTCCTCCTCGCCCTGCCGTCGCCTCGCCCAATTCATCGCTCTCTCGACCGCTCGCTCGTCCTGCCGTTGTTGTTGTTGCTTCTGTTGCTGCTATCCCCTGGCCCAGCCTTCCAGTAACCATGACGACCTCCGTCAAGTTCGAGAAGGATACCGTCCGCACTGCCGGCACCGCCGCTACAAAGGCCAGCGAGGACCTCGTTCATGCGGTCGGTGAACGGCTGACTGGCGGCAAGTCTCAGAATGGCTACCTCGCTGTATGTCGTCTCTCCCGTTATTGTCGTTATTGCTGCTGTCGCGGTGGCTGGCTTGGACTGCACGGCTAACATCTGTCCAGGCATACCTCAAGGAGCTCCAGTCGAACCCGCTGCGAACCAAGATGATCACCTCTGGTGCTCTCTTCGGCATCCAGGAACTGCTCGCCTCGTGGATTGCGCATGACCGCAGCAAGCATGGCCACTACCTCAACTCCCGCATCCCCAAGATGTCGCTCTACGGTGCCTTCATCAGCGCGCCGCTCGGCCACCTGCTCGTCGGCATCCTACAGAAGATCTTTGCCGGACGCACCAGCCTCAAGGCAAAGGTCCTCCAGATCCTCGTCAGCAACCTCGTTGTACGTTTCCTCCCCCCCGTGTTTACTCTACTACTCCTTGTTTACGGGCCGGGCGCCTAACTAACGCCAACGACAACTACAGGTCTCTCCCATCCAGAACGTGATCTATCTCACCTCAATGGCCATCATTGCAGGCGCCCGAACCTTCCATCAGGTCCGCGCTACCGTCAAGGCCGGCTTCATGCCCGTTATGAAGGTCAGCTGGATCGTCTCGCCGCTTTCCCTGGCCTTTGCCCAGCAGTTCCTCCAAGAACACACCTGGGTCCCCTTCTTCAACGTTATCGGTTTCATTATCGGAACCTACATCAACGCTCACACCAAGAAGAAGAGACTGGAAGCTCTCAAGCGCAAGGTTTGTGTCTTCATTTCCGGCTTACATACGACATCATACTGACAATAAACCTATAGCAATACGGCTCTGGAAAGAGCTCAACCGGCCGCCCAGAAGATTACCCACCACCACGACGCGACTACTAACTCTAGTTTTCTCCAAGGTACACTAACAAAAGGCCCACAGGAACTACCTAGAGACTGAAAAAAAAAAAAAAAAAAATTAACCCGCCCGAAATCTCGCCTGCCGTGTATATTCTTTGCATCGCGGAGTTCCGCTCTATTTATCCGCGCCAATCAATATATTGACCATATATTTCCAGGATAGATTTTCAACCCGCGATATCCTCCTCCTTGATCACGCCCCCCCTTCCGCCTCCTTTCCTTTGTTATACGGCCTTCTGATTTTCTCCTTGCTTTGGATCCCCCCGTTGATTCCTTTTTTGACTGTTCATTCTCCCTCGATTCTTGCAGATTGGTGGACTCCAGCGGCAACCTGCAACAAAACAAGCTGAAAAAAAATTTACAACATTTCTCCCCGAATGTTGAATCTTACTTCACACCCAACGCTTCGTCTCTGTTTTGTTCGGCCCGATCCCACCCTATCTGTTGCCCCTTTGAGCCACTTCTTTTGCTTCTCATGTACCTCTATATATGCCCGGTCCCGACTTAATTCTACGTGATATTGAATGAATTTCTGTTTTCCTTCCCTACGTAGCACTCCAAGGCTTATCTGGAACTATCTAGAATAATTGCTTGGTGATTGTGATACCCGTTTCTCCCGCTAACTGACCAGGCGTTGAACCCTTTGATATGCTAACGTCCAGCAAGTTTGCGCGACTCCAGCCAACGCTCTTGCTGTGTAACCAAAACAACCCAACCGTCCGTCTCTACTCCCCGAGATCAATGGTTAGAAGACCCTGAAAGCAACCAGCCGGCCATCGCGTCTCAGTATGCTCATCTCGTTCCTGACTCCATGACGTGGTTCTTGGCTTATGGACGTTTGTTTCCGTTCCAGGGTTGACGTTAACCGTGAGACAAGAGGCCAGATGTCGCCTTGAAAGATGGAAAACCTGACGTCAATGTTTGGATTGGGCATCCCTCTTATCTACTGAAGTGAGTCAAGCTATCAGTGGTGGTCATTTTCTCCGTGTTCCCATTGACAAACTATGATGGATGCATATTCAAAATTGACCATCTGCCAAATACCCCTGGTATGGTGACTATCAGTAATAAGAATATCTTGGTTCCCCAACATTCTTATACATGATTACTATCGACTATCAAACATCATGCTGGACAGCCTTGGGCAGACCCTTTGCATTGGTGTCCAAGCGGTCCGCTCCGTGTGACATCAAACATGGAGCCCCAACATTAGCATTAACGGATGATGCAACCATAAATGGACCGCTGCCATGGAAGAGCCATATTATTTAAACAACCAGCCTCGCATTTGCTACTCTCATACAGGGTAGACAGACTCATATCAAGTTTATCTCGTGGAAATTTCATTATATCAGACCCTCGTTACCCTAATATATCATGTCTCCACATCCAAAGTGCATCTGTCGCACCTATCCTGAAGCGTCTGAGGAAAAGTCCGGCAGCGGATTACGAGCGTTGAAGGCATCTTCTCTCCAATGCATAGGAATCAGCGAAGTCCTAGCAACAAAACTAGCCCTTGATGCACTTGAGAGTTTCCGTGCTCCACATCTAGAAACGCCTCGTTGCCCCTTGCATGGTTACAAATACCTCCCCTTCAGGCTGTTCAACACTCTCGACTCACATCTTTTCCGCGGAGTGCTTAAAGACCAAGTCTACCTCAGATGGTCGAAGATTCTACCCTCTCGCGTCCACGGGTTGACGAGCAAGCCAGGCTCACGAGACAACAGAATCACGATCGACCTCCAACATTCCTTGATAAAGGAGAGCTCCGCCGAAGGAATCATATCCGTTCTCATACACCATATGGCTCACGCATACTTCCTCGCTTGCTGTGGACCGCCCAGCTTGGGTAAGAACCGTTCGGAAAGACAGAATCTCGGCCATGATCTAGCTTATAGCACCCTGGTGTATAAAATTATGGATGTCTTTCAACCTCAGGGTTTCAATAGGATGCCAAACTTGTTCCTTTTTGATCGTGCTCGGCACCATCTGAATGATCACCGTCAGCTCTGTCGCGCGGAACGAACAGTGGGTCACTTGGCCGAACCCGGTAAATGCTGTACGTACCAATCGACGGATTTCTTAGACAGGAAGACATGTCGTGATCATACCTTAACTTTGAAGGAGTTACACTTGAAGCATGAGCGTGATGGAACGTCAGACCTCGGGGATCCATAGTAAGCTAAGTATTCCTTGTTGTAAAATATTCATACTAATCTTGTATACTTTAGTCCGAAATCGCACTATATCCACGTTGTTGACCTTGTGAAACAGAGATTTACACCAGTATTGCGCAGTCAATATCGGTATCGACCAAAGGACTATATTGAACTACACTATGAGAACTACGCTGTGCCATTCCTACGCTCTGGCCTGAGAAAGGACTGCTCCCTAGCTTCTAAGATATCAGAGGACGTTAATTTCCTGAACATACCAGCCCCGTCTCATCAGATATTCTGCGCCTTTTACTCATACCTCCTAAATGGCGACTACCCCCCTGAATTGGTCAAAATTACATCTCCTTATATCACAGCGAGAAATGCCGAAGGGCCTCCACTGATACTAACTTATGTGCCTGAACTTGAGAACTTCCTCGCTACCGATATCAGGATGTTCAGTTTAGCAAGCATGTTGGATTTCTCGGACCTAAGGGACAGTGCCATGCACAGAATGCATTCTCTGAGTGAAACACATGCGAATCCAATATCGATCCTTCAGGAAATATACAACAGTCCAACCAGGAATGATGATGATAGAGATGGATTGCGACGATGGGTGCTGGAGTTCCTTCCCAAGGGCGGCAAGGAGCGCGGATTTACCAATATAGACGTCCTGCAAACAGGTCAATGGAGTGATAGCCTTGCAAAGCTACGGAAGGAAAACGGCTTGTTTAACATGGACTATTCAACTGCATTCGAAAGTTTGGTCTTGGAAAAGGCATCGGCTTATATAAATGCGTACAATGAGGCGAGTCGAGCAACCGGGCACGCTGCAGGTAACCCAAGCGAGACCTTCAACCTAGGAACATTATCCTCTGAGGAATTGGAACTGCTCCGTCAAGTACATCCTCAGATGTCAAAGCTCTACGAAACAGCCGTTGCCTCGACACAGAAACAAGCGCTTGGGCCCAAGGTGGAGAAACAAACCAACAATGATTGCGGATCTGAGCATTGTTTCTGTCATGTCAACCAACAGACCCGACACCATCCTCACCGACACCACCAGCAGCAGCAGCAGGAAGAGGACCAAGATTCTGATACTTCCTGCTCTCAGTGTCCCTGCTACTACTGTGTGCCTGTTTTGAATGAGCCGAATACGCTTAGGCAAACCCCAAACCCCCAGCATTGTTTGAATGTTACCACCCCCCTACTCTTCTCACCAAGCCCCCAGACCACATGCAGCCCTATAAATTTTATACCAGTTTCCACCCACCACAGATTTAGATGAGGAGAGAGAGCAGAAAAGTTTTGGGCAATTTTTTTTGTTTGCAGTTGTATGACGTATGTAACACCGCTTCCGGTGACCTACTAAAAATTGTTTGCTTCTGCTTTAGTTATACCGATTTTTATTTATTTATTTATTTGGTCTGTTCCGTTCGAGGAAGGAAGTTTTATGTAGTTATTGCGAGCATGTTTATTTTGAGAGCTATCGTTGAACTATTCTTCAAAGAGCCATTCTATGGAATGCAATCCACGCGACTTAGCGGGCAAATAACAAGATGTTGTTTCATCAAAACGATAGAGCAGTATGAAAACTTCAAAATAAAGGCGGGATATACTGGCAAATGTCCAAATCGATGTAGCACACATAGCAGTCCGGACTATACCCATTATTGCTGCATTGCCGTCGCTCCCTGCTTCTCTTTAACAAAGGCAACAAAATCATCGATAGCTCCCGGCCAAGCAGCATCGGGGCTCCACCAACCCATGGACTCGTCCTCCATGGTTTTGCGCATCAAAACCTCTGTTTGCTCCCACAGATCCTTATTGATCGGGCGCTTATGTTTAGTTTCAATAAATTCGATCCACCATTTCAGCCATGGCACGGACTTGGTCTCCCATGCAACGCCGCCATTCTCTGAGGTGAAGAAAAGCTGCCACTGTTCAACAGCAAGTTCTATGTTAACGTTGCGCTGGCCTTGCATTCGACACAATAAGAATGTATAGCGATATACTCGTCGGAAGTAATTTGGGTCATCCAATAACAGTTTGCGTAGGCCATTCGCATAAGAGGCTTGTTTCTCAATGGTATCACACCTAGAAAGCTGTGAGTAGATAAGAGCTGAATACACAGGTTTGAGGGAAGCAGACTCAGTAGTTCCTCTCCATCCTTCAACAAAACCTTCTCGGGTAAATTCTCCCATGGATGGAGAGCGTAATAGCTCGGCTACGGCAAGACAGGCGACCTCATCTAACCTGACCTGAAGGTCACCAAAGTACTTCATAGCCCCATTGATTCCAATTTCATCAGGGCTGTCAGGGTCATCTGGGATAACAATTAGTACGGTGAGGAAACCAAATCATGGGTGGCTCTTTTACCTCGATACTTGTCAAATATCTTGTTCACCGCAGCGGTTTTCTCCTGTGCTGTTCCTGACTGTCCGTTCTGGAAGTAGCTGCGTTCATATATCTGGTTAGCATGAAGTTTATTATGTGTTAACGTCATTATAATGTAAATCATAGAAGATATAGGGAGCAAAATGATTTATTGGTAGGTATCACAATTCATGCTGCCAGGTAGAATGTCATAACATTGGTATGAAATTTGCAAGAATAGGAGAAAAGACTCTTAAATCCTTCCAGCCACTTGTGACAGGGAAACACTCCCCTTTGCCATTACTGTGGACGCCTAAAATATGCGAAGGGTGCCGGACCTAACTATCTGGTATAGATCCTAAATGCCTGACGGGCAGTTGAGGGGTAACAGAAACAACATGGATGAAAAGTGATAGGGTAGTAGTAGTTAAGGGGAGTAATAAAGTCGCAAAGAGACATACTCATCGATAGCTTGGTCTACTTTCCAGCCATTTGCTTTGAGACACTGATATCAATTACAGTCAGTTATAGTCCGCATACAGCATACGCTGGGTGTTGGAGGCTTCTAATTTGAGACCAGGACCGAGAGTACGCGTGCAGGGTAAGCTGGTTGATGCTGTACCTTTGTAGCGACGCTGTCTTTTGCTCCAGTAACGCTCACAAACTGCGCTATAGCACTTTTCTGGCTCGAGCTTGGAGGCATGGCGAGTGGGTATTAGAGGGGATGCAAATTGGTCTGTGAGATCCTTTTTCGAGATAGATAGGGCTACAATAACGTGGTGTAGCTCCAAATGTAGAGGTCGCGTTTCTTCCGTTCCCTTCTCCTTTTTCTCGCTTCCTTTTTCTTCTATGCTGATTTTATTTACTTTGAAGTAAAGAGAAAGAGAGAGAATCAGAAAACGCACGGACGTTACGAAGGTGACGGGATGAACTGTGTCACATGACACTAATTTGAAGTGGGAATAAGCTTAAATAGATTACATAAGTTATTCTATAGAAGGAAGGTGCGGATCAAGCATCTATAAAATGAATATTTGTACTCCGTATCCTTCGATATTTATAATATCTATACAAAATAAAATAAAATAGAAACCAGTGGTACATGCCATGAATGATAGCAAGGGAACTCGGATGGCAAGGAGATTAAATGCTTGGAGATACAAATTGCAGGGTGAGGGAGGAGCTTAACTGTTTCGGCTTGGGGGCGCCAGTACTCAAAAGCCACAAAAACTAAAAGCTACCAGGACAATATTTTCAACAGATAGATCACTTTTAAAAGTACAAGCCATATATCACGATAGAACTCCGGTAGCGCAAAAACACCAGTGCCAATATGTACCCGTTAAATAAAGAGCTGAAGTGTCGGTTATGTAGTGAAAAGGGTATCCTCCTGAAGTAAATTGTTAATAAGTGCCAAAGAGGAAGTACTTTGCAGAAATCAAATCTCACCTCTCTCAGATATTCACCAATATCCCCTTGTCTAAATGCCACAACTCCAGTTGGATCTAGCTTTCGAGCCTCCATAGTCGACCGAGCAGTTACCCCGAAGCCCTATATGAGAACCATGAATTAGCAAGCCGAAATATATATACTCAATTTATGCACATATCAGGCGTGCAGGACGGGTATGGGCATGCGGGTATGGGTATATAAGACTCACAAGTGGGGTATCGTCCATTGACAAAACAACCACTCCCTGATGCTCCGGGCAATCTTCGCTCCATCTCCCAACGTGTGCTTTCACAATGTTTCCACCATACAGAAAAGGCATCTCTCCATTAGGCTTGATCCATAGCTTATATCTGGCATGTGGTGCGATGACATCCAATGCTGTGATGTGCAATCTGAATTTTCCAGTCTTTGTAAATTTACCGAGACAGGTTCCTATTGATAGCAGGTTGGGCCTCGCAATTGACGTTGCAAGATTCGCTACAGAGAGTCGGAGATAGTAGACCCTAGAGCCATGGAGCCTAAAAACGTATCGATCATCTGCAGACTCGTCGCCAGAAGCGGTGGGAGGTGCGATGAGATGGTTAAGAGAACGCCCGGTGTAATTCGCTAGCTTTGTGAAGAGCGTCTGAGTCTCGGACTCCGTGAGAGGGCGCATGGTTTAATATTCGTTAGCTTTCAACCCTGATAGAAAAATTTCCCTGGCCCCTTCTTCCCTCGTATGACTTCAATCAATGGTTGGTGTTTTGGCAGCTGTCAATATATCTGCTGTCGCAAGAATTCCTTTATCGATAGTTGAAATTTTAGAGTTTGAAATCTTGGCAAAACTTTTCATGCCGTGAAATTTTATTTACTTACTTTTGAGCGGCCTTGAAAATTGCATCAATTGAAGAAATATTCAATCGCCTTTCAATGACAAATTATGGCAGCTAGTGTTTCCGTAAAAAGGAGACGGCTGAGCCCGTCAGATGATTCATCGCATCTGAAAAGCAAATTCTACAGCCAGGCTGCACAATGGGACCTCGAACAAGACTACGAGCGAAGACCGCGGAAGACGAAGAAGGACAAGGAAAAGAAGCGGCTACCGATAAAGACACAGGAGGGGACTTTGGAGCATCTAGAGGAAGATGAGAGACTTGAGGAAAGCTCAGAGAGTGAAGTTTTTTTGTCTGAGGTGGAAGACGGTGAACCTGCTACGATGGCCCGAACAGTTCCTGCGCCAGTATCATCTGTGCCTCCCAAGGTCCAGATATTGGAAGCAAAAGAAGCCCTGGCACGAATAGCATCACTGATAAATGAAGAACCTGAGGAGCACATGGAGCTTTTTAAGAAGCTAACGGAGATGACAGCATCTGCGTCACTTCCAGCCGTGAAGAAACTTGCCCTAGCCACACAGGCGGCCGTTTATAAAGACGTTATTCCCGGCTATCGGATACGGCCACTAGAAGGCGAAGAGCTGACTGCAAAGGTTTCCAAGGAAGTGAGGCAACTCCGTGCGTTTGAACAATCCCTTCTCTCTGGTTATCGAGAATACGTGCAGCAGTTGGCCACACTTTCTCGAGCAAAGCAGGGAAGCGATACATACAACTCTGGCCTGAAGAGCTTATCCATCAATTGTGCTTGCAGTCTACTGACTTCTGTGCCGCATTTCAATTTTCGTGGGGAGTTGCTGAAAATTCTGGTTGGACAGCTAGGGCGCCGACAGATAGATGCAGATTTTGTCAAGTGTCGTGAAACTATAGAGGAGGTATTCTCCAAGGACGACGACGGAACCATCTCGCTGGAAGCTGTCACTTTATTGTCAAAGACAATCAAAGCAAAAGAATTTAGGATCCGACCAAGCGTCCTGGATACGTTCCTTCATTTGCGACTACTCTCAGAATTCTCATCCAAGGGCTCTAAGGATGCAATCGATAAAGAAGCAGACGAGAACAACAATGGAAAGAAGCCAAAGCAAAAACGAGAGTTTCGAACCAAAAAAGAACGAAAATTGATGAAAGAACGAAAGATTGTGGAAAAGGATATGAAGGAGGCTGATGCTCTAGTAAGCCATGAACATCGGGATAAGATGCAAGCAGAAACGCTGAAGCTAGTATTCACCACATACTTCCGCACACTCAAAACACGTAACCCTGAACTTGTGGGGGCTGTTTTAGAAGGGCTTGCCAAATTTTCCCATCTAATTAATCAAGACTTCTTTGGAGACTTGTTGGAAGTTCTTAGAGATTTGATCTCACGATATACCAACTCCAACGTCAAAGAGAATGAGGACATACGTGACAATGAGGATGATGAGGATGAAGAGCGATTCAGGATGAAGGATACTCGAAACGCTACTCGAGATGCTCTCCTTTGTTCAACAACTGCATTCGCACTTCTTGAAGGACAAGATGCCAGTAAAGCAGCCTCTTCCCTTCATTTGGATCTAAGCTTCTTTATAGGGAACATTTACCGTTCGCTACACGACTTGTCCTTGAACCCAGACATCGAATTCCACCCCAGCAAATCCCTCCGACTACCTGAGCCAAATCCTTACAATGACAATCAAATCGTCAGTAATCCGGGCCCAGATAGAACCGTCCTAGCCAAAAAAGTCGACTTTCAGACCCCTACTGTGCTCCTTATCCGGTGCCTACAGTCAATATTAACTGCAAAAGCCAACAAAGCTCCGCCTCCCATCCGTATAGCAGGGTTTACCAAGCGGCTCATGTCTTCTGCACTTCAACTGCCAGAAAAGTCAGCAATAGCAGTTTTGTCACTTCTTACTCGTGCAGCGAAGCTACATGGGCGGAAAATAGCACCCCTATGGAATACGGAAGAGCGGAAAGGTGACGGAGTTTACGACCCCAATGCGGATGATGTGGAAAGGAGCAATGTTTTTGCCGCAACCATATGGGCAGGCGAATTGTTACGACTACACTATTGTCCGCAGGTTCGGGATGCTGCGAAGGAGGTTGAAAAAGCCATAGCGGCTGTAAAATAAACTTGCAATAAAAAATAATAAATCGAAGAACATCCCAAACCCACGCCATTAATGCTTGCTTGCAGTATTTAGTCCGTGTGTCGGATTTCCTGAGATATGGGTCGTTGTATCAAGCAGACATAGCTTGAAGCCGTTAAGATTCACCTTGCATGCCTGCCACCTTGCACATATCCATATTTCCATTTGAATTGGTGTAGATCTGCTACAGTGAGTAGGGCATGCAGTGTACATCCTATCGTCAGGTATATGAAACAGAAAGATCTCTAGATGAAATGGGAATATATCCCTAAAACCGCCTAGATGCTGACCACCCTGATTGATTAACCATTGGAAATTAGACCCTAAATCAGTGGGTGGTTTGCTTACCTCTGCCAATTATCCAGGTAGCAAATATGCGGCATCACTGCGAAAGACCGTCTTGATTGCAAGCGTACGGAAACGGTTAACAAGTTGGCACAACGCTGTTCAATTTCCCTTCCCGTCCGCATAGGCCTTTCGGTACCAGTTTGAAGTTCCGCTCCATTCGCCATTGTTGAAGCTTGCATCTCGCCGCGAAGAAATACGTTGTCGACAGGATTGTCGGTTTCGCGGCACCACCTGGGGCCCCTGAGAGGGTAACATAGCTGTCTGTGGTTCAGTAGGAGAATGTAGCGGGTTCGGCGTCATGTCTAGATGTGGTGAATATCCGGCGTGCTGTTGTTGACTGGGAGCACGTCGTCGATTTGGACCACCATGCTGGACATCGCGAACATGTCCGCTGCTATGGGGTTTGCTGCCGCGATAGTGTAGGCGCTTGGCTGGGGGCTGGCTGCCGCTAGAGTTACTGCGCAGCATATCGGCAGGCCCTTGATAACCTGCCAAAGGCAAGCCCCCTTAGTACTGTAATTGGCCACCTAACCTCGCTTCGAGGGCAGCAACTCTACCATTGAGCTGATGGAGATGGTTTGTATTTGCTCTTGTCTCCACTTGCAGCGCCCTGATTTCGTTCGTCAGCCTTTGAAGGCTTCTCAAGATGGCATCGGTGTTGGCTGCTTGTACCATCGAGATCTGTTCGAAACGGGCATTGATAACATCACCATCGTGAAAGTGATTTGCTGCAGGCTCAGTTGGCATCGTTGCTGGCAACACTGGCGCCACCATCCCTCCGCATGTCCCATGGATACTAGGAATAACGGGCGCCTGAACATGCTCAGGACTTCCACATGTTGAATGAGGGCCCCGTTGGGTGGCTGTAAGTAGCGGCCCACCCAAGACAATGCCGTCAGTATTTGACTTGCGACGGACATCGCAGTTCATGGGCCCAGATACCCCGTTAGTATTCATCTCCAACACCGAGAAATCGGGGGCCGATAATACCTTCCGCAGACCTGGTTGACTTTCTCGTTCTGTTGGAACTGGCAGCGCTTGATATAGCTTTTGCATACTATAAGCGTCTGGCTGAACGAGAGGTGCAGATTTGGGTGGGACACAGCTTGATTCACTATCCTTCAGCCTAGGATAATAAATATTCACTTCACTGTGAGTTTTCTGAGGGGAACTGGGTGCAGAACACTCGATAGTTGTTCTGCCGCCGCTCCGATCCTTGTCATTTGTCGCTCCTGGATGAGTTTCTGGCCTCGACCAGTCTCTCACATTGAACTGGTCCATGAGCTTGGTAAGGATGGCTGGCCGCTCTCTCGACACCTCCCTATACCTCCTCTTGACAGGTTTTTGTGTAGTTGGGGCAGCAGACAGGGGGTGGAGATGAGCTCTTGGTGGTGCTGTTGCGTACCTCGATCTTGTCCCATGCAAAGGCCACTGTGGATAGACAGGTGCTTGAGAATGGGAGAGATCTGGCAGATGGCGCTTTTGGATTGTCAAAGTGGCTGCAAGGGCAATCAATATATGTACATAAGTCAAAGGGGAGCCTCATGGATTTGCATAAAGAAGCCCTAAGGGAGTGTTTCAACCTACAAGGACAATCAAAGGATGGGCTGAATTCCTTTGCTTCTGCTGGCCTGGCTGGGGTAGGGGGATATTTAGGCTCAAGATTTGGAACCACAGATTGGTCTTGCTCCTGAACTCTGCCTTTGGAGCTAGCAACTAGATTCACAGTTCAATACATTAGGATTCACTGTCTCAGCTTGTTCTTTGTAGAGGGTCTGATTTCAACATACTAGGATAGACAACTGGCCGGACTTCTGTTTCACTCGCTGGCGGAAAAACAACAGGGGCCGGGAATCTCTTTTCGCCTGTGTTTCTGGCTTGTCTAAGGCAGCCAAAGCTTGGAAGATCCGGAGCTAGGTAAGGAAATATATTAGCATAAAATTCATTGCTTTGTTCTAAGTAGAAAATGCTAAGCTGAAAACAAGACATCCAACAGTCCTTTGACAGATGCTGGTTTTTATGCGTTAATTCTAGGGGAGAGGTAGATAGATAGATATTTGCTATTTTAACCTATCTTTCTTTTACTATCATTTTTGACTTACCAGTAAGGTCACCCTGGCCGAACGCGTAGCTTGATGATCTAGGGAGACGGACCAAGGCAGGCCTAGGGGTTCGTAGCTCTGGAGGATCTGATGAAGTCTGATATGAGCCTCTTCCTTCCATCTTAGAACTATCCAAGTGAACCAGAGCTGAAGACTATAAGAGGTAAAATGCAAAGCAAAGGTGCTTTATAGCAAGGAGAAGACCAAAGGATTGACGCTGTTGGCAGCCGAGAAGGGAGTAACTGGTATCAAGAAAATAGGCTGGTGAGAGAAAGGGGGGGTGAGGATGTTTTGGTCTTTCAAAATATTTATATTGTGGGGCCCTGAAGAGAAGGGCTTTACTACCAAAGATGTCCTCCTTCTTCTGGCGCTAGTGAGCTGGTAACCAGGGGCTAAATAGCCGTTTTAATAGAGCAAAGGACCTTAGATGGCACCAAATGTGTTCACCTTAGCCTCACTCTATATCCTTTCAAACCTATAGAGAGCACGGGTTGCCAAATATATCACATATATTAAGGCAGGGTACCAGTAACCTATGCCTCTATAAATTTCAGAAGTAATAGTAAACTGAAGGGTAGCTGTACCCTTAAAGCATTCTAGGGCAAATTTACACTCGAGTGTAGGATATCATATAGAGGGTAAGAGGACAAGGTATCAGGAAGATATTTTAAATATTCAATATGTAGAACAAGAAGTTCTATAAAAAAGGGATATGGAATATAATGGTTCTTGATTTAGCTAAAGTGGATTTTCACCATTCTCCAGGAGGTAAGAAGAGTTAAAAAACCCAAATTCATACATCACAGAAATAATCATCACAGGATTCATTAACAAGGGAGGATATCATGGGGCAATTCTGGGAGTACATATGAAAACGCGAACAAAAAAGCAACAAATGGAAATGTCATAGAAATGCTCAAAATTAAGAGGCCTTTCAAACAATTATTGCAGTAACTAATAAGCCACTGCAATATATTGAAAATGCATATTGGTTCAATAGATCAGGGTATGCAAGAGTGTTGGACCAGGCGTGTATTAAGCGGTGGTGTCACGACGACGGAATCCAAAGAGGCTTCCAAAAAAGTTGACGAAGATAGCGCGCCATATATACTTGAGGAAGTTATCTCTGCGCTGAGATGTCAGTGAAGTGATAGATTTGTTGCCGGTCGGAGGACGAGTCTCTTCAGAAACTCCATTGGTTTTCGTGCCGTTGGTCTTGGTTCCATTAGTGGTGGCGGCAGTGGAAGCGTTGGCAAGGGCAGTAGCAGAGCTGGAACTTGGCTCAATATCAGCAGATGCGGATGTCTCGGGGGTAGCCTTCTTGGATTCCTCGTTGGCAATGACTTTGCCATTGACAGTCTCTTGAGCATCATCCTTCCCAACAGGAGATTCCTTAACTTGCTCAGGGAGCGATGTATTTTCTATGGTTGTGCCCTTATCATTTTCTTCTGTCGCATGGGCTTTCGAGGTAGATTCAGCGGTAGCAGGTTCTTCTTGCATAGGACCATTTTTAGTTCCATTGGAGGACTCATCATTTGCGCCAACCTTTGAATCCTCCTTGGCCATAACGTTATTGATATGTTCGGAATCATCAACAGTTCCTTTCTTACTGATAAGCGATTCCGTACCCTCAGGAGTATCATCAGCGGCAGTCTTCTTATCAGTAGTTTCCCCAGATTCAAAGGCTTTCTTTGCCAAGAAAGCGGCCCCAGGAACCACAGCAGCTGCTCCGAGAGCAGCAGCTATTGTAGCACCGTTAGTTTTGTGAGCATCCTCTTGCCCTTCGGTCTTGCTGGTGGAAGATTCTTTTGGCTGATCCTCCTCGACCTTGGCATGATCCGTCACAAAATCAGGTTTGGCTTCAGTTGACTGAAGCTTCCCTTGTAAGCCAGCCTCTTGAATAGAGTCTGCTGAAACGTTCGGTAAGTCTGCTTTAGGATCGTTTTTACCTTCCGTAGAGGTGCTACCAACAAGCTGTTCGTCTAAGATAGCTTCTTTAGTGACCTTATCCTTGTTGGTAGGTACTTCAGGTTCATTATCAGCAACAGATTCTGCCGGGTTGTTGGTTGTCCCTTCTGATGCACTGCCAGTGCCAGTAGGCTCAGGTACGTTTTCAGGAACAGTTGTGTTTTCTTCAATATTATGTGTGACAGGCTCAGTTGCAGCGCACTTATCGGGATTACCGGGAGTCTCCTCAGTGTCCTTCGGCGCCTCTAGTGAGCCAGGGAGGGTAGTTACAGCCTCCGAAGTAGGAATTTCAGGTTTCTCAGCTTCAACGGTGACATTCTCCTTTTCAGTGTCCTCTGGAACAACAGGAGTCTCAGCGACCTCTGGTAACACGTCCTTTTCTTCGATGGTGGTCACATCAGCAGTCTCAGTCTTGTGAGCTTCCTCTTCAGCAGCCTCAGGTTCTGGTGCAGGAGTCTCGTCCGCAACCGGGTCTGCTGCAACAGTCTCCGGTGCAGATTCAGCCTCAACTGTCTCTTCCACAGCAACAGGCGCCTCTTCGACAGCTTCTTCGGCTCGCTTGTCATCGACTTTGACGACATGGTCCAAGCTCTTTTCCGCTTCGGATTTAACTTCTTCCCCAGTTGCAGTGACGTCATTCTGAACGTCCTTGGGGGCCTCTTCCACATTGACAACAGCTTCTGCGTCTTGCTTTGGCTCTTCAGGCACATCAATTGGCGCATCTACAGCAGCATCTTCAACTTGGGATTGAGCGTTGGCTTCCTTGCTAGCATCCTCGACAACGGCAGTCTCAACATGAACTTCCTTAGGTTCCTGGCTAACATCGGGCTCTCCAGGCCCTTCCGAAGCTACAGGAGCCGGTTTATCAGAAGGCTCGTCCGTTACTTGACTCGTCGATGATTGAGTAGTAGCAGCCGCTTCATCCTTTATGGATTTACTGGGGAGATCGATTTCCTTGTTTTCGGTTTCAGCGGCAGCAGGAATTGGTGCATCGTCACCGGTAGCCTCCGGCTCAGCAAGCTTTTGTTCTTCCGGCTTATTTGTTTGTTCGCCAGCGGCTTCAACTTCCTTTTCTGGGGCACTTGTATCCTCCTCTTTAGAGTCACCACTTTCAGAATCCTTTTGGATAGCTGCTGCAGGCTCTTCAGCAACGGGCGCTAGTTCCTCGGTAGCAGGCTCCTTCAATTCGGATGCTTTGGTCTCGCCTTCCACTTGGGGTTCCGGAGCAGGAGTACTGCTCTGAGCCACCTGGCCTGCTTCCTCTTCTGAGAGCTCTGGATTAGCTTGAGATTTGACGTTCTGAAGTGCTTCAACACCTGCGATGTTAGCGATAACGGGCACCTCAGACGCCTCTTTAGTCTCATCTTCTTTCTGAGAAGGGACCTCCTTGACAGGATCTTCTTCCGCAGCAGGCTGAGCTCCGGGAGCAGACACTGGGACAGGATCAGCTATGTCTTCAGTTTCCTCCTTCTTCTCGATGGGTTGCGAATCCCGATTGACTTCAGGTTCGAGGGTGTCCTTGCTTTCTGAGATAACAGCCTCATCCTCAACCGCCGGAACGTTGCAATCAGCTGGCGCAGGATCATCGGCAGATAAGTCTTTGACTTCCTCGATAGAAGCGATATCTTGATGTTCGTTTACTGGGGCTTCATCAGCCGCAACAGCAATTTCGGCGTTTGGCCCTGGGGCAGGTTCTTGTGACTCCTCTTTGGTGTTGTCCTTGAGTACCTCCGGAGCTGATTCCTCCACCGGCTTATCATCCGTTATGGTCTCTGCCTCCTTCACTACTGGGGCATCGTCCTCCGTTGACTTCAAATCTTCAACTGGCTGAGAGGCATCCTTATCTGGTTCTTCGTTAGCGGTATCCGCTTCCTTACTGAGTTCGTCAACCACCCCAGTAACATCTTCAACCTCATTGGTAGCTACAGGTGCGGGAACAGGCTCTGTTTTCTCTTCTGCTCCATCCTTGGCTTCCTCGGGCATTGGGACTGATAGGGGGGACTCTTCTTTCTTTGCATTTTCAGTAGTTCCGTCCTCCTTTTCGGTAGAGATTTCTTCCGACGCCTCGGCCTCGTTTTCTGGTGCCTCAATGACCGGCTCCGGCTCCTTTGAGGAAGGAACTTCACTATCTTCAGTGGAGACAACTTTGTCGGGTGCAGCGGGCATCACCTCAGGTTCAGTATTTACAGGATCTCCTTGTGTCTCCAGTCCGTCAACTGTCGAGTTTTCGGTTGCGTCTGTATCACGCTTTGATTCGGTTAATTCTGGTTCCAACTCCGGTGCACTTTCTTTTGGCTTTTCAGGAATAGCCTCTGGTTCGTTGGAGCTCTTCTCTTGTTCTTCATTGGCCACCGCGGGCTTCTCGGAGACTGGTCCAGGGGCGTCATCGGAGGCAATCTCCTTACTGGCGATATCCTTGGATACTATGGGCTCCTTGGGCTCTTCGACAGAAGCCTCCGCCTCGCGTACAGCGGCTACTTCAGAGTCAGCTTTTACAGCATCTGGAACTGGTTCAGACTCAGCTGCCGATACTTCCTTGATTTTGTCTTCTGTGGCAACAAGATCTGCGTTCTTATCTGAAACCTTTTCCTCCTGAGGTAATTCCACGTTCTCTGGCTCGATAGAAACCGGTTCTTCTTTGGTAGCCAGGGTATCTTCCTTTATAGCTTCCGGGGATGGTGCTGCCTTTTCAACCGCAGGTATGGAAATAGATTCAGCCATCTCTTCGGCCTTCACTGGAGTTTTCTCTAGCTCAGCCGCCGGTTCTTCCTTGCTTTTCTCCTCAGAAACAGCCTCTGGTTCAATGACGGTTGGTTCTTCAACTACCATAGAAGCCACGGGATTGGCAGTCTCTTTAGCTGAACCATTTGCCTTCTCGGCAACCGGCTCTTCAGCATGGGCAGGGACAGCGTCTTTCTTGGTGGCTTCTGGCAGACTGTCCTCTTTAGTCGAGTCCTCGGTAGGCTCAATAGCCGGAGCCTCGGGCGCAACTTCAGCTTGGAGAACATCGTTTTCCGGCGCGGCTGGAGCAGTTTTTAGATCTTCAGCGGTATTGTTCTTAGGCTCCTCAACCGTGGTTTCGGACTCAGTGACAAGAGGTGTTTCAACTTTGTCATTGGATTCTTCCTTGATAGTCTCAGCTGGGTCGATTGCTTCGACTGCATCGAATTTCTCAGAGAGTTCCTTCTTCGCTTCTAGGTTATTCTGAGAAACTTCTGCTCGAGATTCTGATTCCTTGGACTCTTCCGGGAGTTCCTTGCTTGTAGACTCTGGCATTGTATTTTCAAGCTTGTCAGACGAAGATTGTTCCTGCTCCATTTCGGTGGTATCGACAGACACAGTCTTTTCGCTATCCGGGACAGTATCTTCCTTCTTGGACAAGTTTTCGTCACTCTTCTCCTCAGAGATGTTTCCTTTTGAAGCTGAAGCTTCGGGAGCTCCAACGGAGTCCACCTGGTTGTCCGTCTGTTTCTCCACTTCTGGAGCGGTTTCCCCTACCACATTAACGGGAACTTCCTTGTCAGATTTGTCAACAACAGCGGCGTCTACCGGTATGTCTTCCATGATTTTAGCCTTTTCTTCGGTATCATCTTCTTCTTTGGCTGGTTCCTTCAATTTGGTGCCATTGGGTGTACCGTTGGTTTGCTGGGAGCCTTCAGTTGCGGAGGTGGAGGAGGTATCGTTTACGACAAGGACATTATTGCAAATTCCATCATCATTGACCACTAAATATTCATAACAGGTCAGTCACCCTAAACATCAGAGTTGGGAGATATGTCGTTATGTGGAGTGAATGAAATTTGACTTACCTGTCTCAACGTCGTTGTCACAGAACCAAGAATCTTCATCCGTACCCAGACGGAATTTATACTGGTATTTGCCCTCTGGTAGCTCAAATTTCTTTGAAAACTCGTACTCCTCGACCTGCGTAGAGCTGTCTTCGGTAGTTGGTGCGTCTTTCGAACTTAGAAGCTGAGGTGTGAGCTCCACAGGCTCCCATGCCGGTTCGGTAAAACATGCGGCCACAAAGACAGCTGGAGTTTTGCTCGGTCGACGGATTGCAATGGTGACGGTGCGTTTAACGGCTTCAGTCATGGCTAGAGAGTTGGCTGTTTTTCCTCTTCCAGTCGCTGGTTGTTGCTGTTGATTGCCGATGGTGGTTGAAATGCTAGTTCTAGTATCGTAAACTCGTAAAGTCGTGGCCGTGGGAATTGTTTCGAAGCCCTGCAGAGATGAAGCTAGCTAGATAATAGCCGAAGGTGATATACAAAGCTGCACAAAAAAATAAAATAAATAAGAGGCAAAGACAGGTTTCCGCAGACGAATTTACAACACAAAGCACAGGGGAGCAAAGGGACAAAAGCTCGAAATATCACGACTATGCCCCCAAAGACGACGAGGGTATCAAGAATCAAGGCGAAAAAAAAGACAGGGGGAAAAACAAACAGAGCAGAGTAAAGGGAAAACTTTTGGGGTAAATGTCAAATTATGAGAGAGACCTTCGAAGGTATGGCTGTCCTGCTTATTTCTTTCCCTTGACAAACTAGAGGGGAGGGCACACAGAGGAGGGGAGTTGCAGAGATGGGCAAGTATGCAAGAAGGAGTCTTTCTTTTCTCTCTTCCCAGGGGGGCTTGATGCAATGTTTATTGGTTTTGGAGGCAGACGAGGATGATCATAAGCAAAATGGCTTGCTTGCCGTGCATTCAGAGAAGAAGAAAAGAAAAGAGAAAAGGCAGAGAGTCAAAGCCCAAAAAGCAATATAGCATTCAATTACTTACGACAATACACTACTAAAGGGGAGGGGGGAGAGTCATCAAATTTTTCTGTTTCTTCTCTCTCTCTCTCTCTGCTTCCGTCAAAAGCAAAAGCCTGGCAGGACGAAGAACGACCCCATCGAGCCTGAACCGGCTAGCGCTGCAGACTTGTTGTCAGAGTGATGAGCCGGCTAACTTACTAGCTAGTCAAATAACAAGAGAGTCGAAAGAGGGTTTGTCTGCATCCCTGCGCTTTTATGGCGTTTTGACAGAGCTCATTTGCTGCAGCTCACGGCTTGGTTAAACCGCCTCTTTGCTTTTTCCTTCCCTTCCCTTAGCAGGCTCCATATTATTTCGACACCAGCTGTTGACTTGTGGTGTGTGCTGCACCATGGCGGCCTAACCGGACTGATCGCAAGCACCTCAGGCATGCAGGAGGCAAGGCATGGCGATACAAGTTGGGCAGGAAAAGATATTCCCACCTCCGTCTAATAGTCTCCAGGGGAAAAAAGAAACAGAAAAAGGGACAAAGATGCCATTGTTTGTTGCTCGTCTCGCTCCCGTATCCCTCACGGTTATTTGGGATGAAGTCGAGAAATCCACCGGTTGGAAAATTGGTGGGGTCATGTGACCACATGTGAGTGGACCCTTAATGTCTATTTTTTTCCCTCTTGCTGAGCAGTTGCTAATTAGCAGCAGATCATGTTCATATCCGAGGTTCGGGGATCAGAAATACGAAGACGTTGTTGGCCATCGTCAATTCACATATAGAAGTGAGCGAAACGGTACGCCGTACTCTGTATGTCAAAGACATCTCCCCGAAAGTCAATACCATTGTTACAGAAGAATATGTTCTCTGGCGAGTGGTTAGTTAAAAAAGAGAGAAAGGAGTGACACAAAGTCTGGGACCTTCAGCGCCTAGGCAGAGCAAGATAAGCGATTGCGAATGCCCCACCGAACTCTGGTTTTAGCGGTGAGGGAAAACAGCTTGAAATGGTGGGGTTGCAAGACAAGCTGTGCACGTTTGAGGGCTCCTCGTACAAGATGGACTCGGGGCTTCAAGCAAGCATACATAAAATATACTGAGACCCTTGAGACCTTTTACCTGGTAGCTTCCCATGGATCTCACCTAGAAATTGGATATTTCCAAAGAAAGAAGCCTGATATAATACCACGCCTTAGCGAGGTCTTCAATGGTGCTGACAGGATTCAGATCATGTACCTGCCGGCGGTGGCCAAACTTTTGCATGAAATGGTAAGCTAATGGTAAACGCCGTTTTGACTCCTTGCCTTGAGTGTTATACTCCTGACCAAATAGCCAAACCGGACGGGGCATTTACCCCTTTGATCACCCGAAGCACAGATTCTGTTTATACATGCAAGGCGATTTCTCGAGCTGCCTGGAGACAAATAGGCGTTTCCTGCAAGGTTATGCATAATGATGTTCTTTATACTATAACGAGCCTATATGAAAGAGTATTCATCCCAATCAAGGTATCCTTTTTTTCCTGCTAGGTCTGAGACAACTCCCTTAAAACTCTTTCTATCAATTGGCGTTTTGGGTAACAGGAATTGAAGTTCTGCAGTTGGCGATAAAGGCACTAGGATGGTATTGACGTGTCCAAAGTTCGACTCAATTGAAGCCGTGGGATAATCCACTGCACTATGGACATAAGAAGGCGCATGATCTTTGTAGATATGTGAATGCCAGTACCTTGGAGGTGTTGGAGGTGTGGGGGGGTGATATTACCGCACTTTGCGTGTATATCATTGAGCTAGCTCGTCAAGGTGAAGGCACACATCGCCCCTCCAGGCCTTTAATGAAAGTGGAAAGATATATTACTTCCATACTGAAAGAGAGAGCCATACCCTCTTTGGATGTCACTCGCCCAGGATGTATCACGTGATATATTCTTGGCATAGAGGTAGCAGGATCCTTGGGCTCGGATCTCGGGACGGAACGCTCCGATGAACTTAATCTAATGCCAAGACATAAACACAAATTCGTGGTTCAAGTCAGAATTTGTTTCCTGCAGCGGACAAACTCAAGCAACCGATCGAGGAGTGCGACACGATGGCTGCTGATCTCTGCTGAAGTGTTTGCATTACCAACGGAGAACTTTGTGCGAGATCTCCAGCTGTCGGGTCCCGCTTCACTTTTTGTTTCCCGGCCACGTTGAAAATAAAAATTTTCGTGGCTTGCAAAACAGCCGAGCGCGTTCTTCGTCACAGTTCAATTCAATTCCCAGCGATACGGAGTATAGAAAGTGATGAGGTTCCGGAAACAGGAGCCAGAAGCGGCATATTATATATATATACGAAGTGATAGCGCCATCTCCGCCAAAATACGCCCACACATTCATCAAGTCATCATGAACATAAATGCGAACAGCACTGAGGGTTGATAAAACGGAACAAGACAAATGAACCAGAAACTGGTACCGGGGAAAAACAAAGGAAAGGAGCTGTCAAAAGATTAAAATATTTCAAGATCTTCAAAATCCACCACTAACGAGTTGGGTGATGGGCTATTGTCATGAAAATATTGCCCACCGTTTCTCGCCGCCCACATGGTGCTGGATATGGAGATATTTGCTGGTCGACAGGCATAGACGCCAATATGCACGCTTTTGTCTTCAACTCCCCAGAAAAACCATGTTACTTCGCGCAGTTTCCGCCATGATTGGGCAGCCGAGCCTGGGCTATGACTGGATTCCTGGTCTGTAGAAAACGAAGATGGCGGGATTTGATACCATACCCAGAGAGAATGGCCAATGCGCTCTAGTTTGATTCGCAGAGATGTTATACTTGTTGGCTGATTGGGCGGCGCTAAGGGAGAAAGGCACCAGTCTGCTCCGTCTGATGTGGCGCTGACGGACGACGCGTTGACAGTTCCCGCGGAGAACTCAAGTCCAGCCTTGACCCATTTACCTTGGCCCAAGTTGAAGTCTGGATACGGAGGTGGTTGTGGTGGTTGTTGCTGCTGCTCCCCGGCATTGACTGAATTGTTGTTATTATCAAGATTGATAACTGTGGTTGGGACGAGCTCATTGCTGTTATTGGGCCTGAAAAGGTCAGTTAGCAGACAGTTTCCTATTCTCCAAGGAATGCAATTATGCCTTACTGGATCAGACGTGGTCCTGGGGGAGGGCCTGAAAATATAACTAAACCACCCTGGTCCCATTCCATCTCCCAATCTGCTGTGACTGTTACTTCAGCAAGGACGAATGGCCTTTGGAGAGACGTGTATAATATTGGGGCTGTGGATGTTTCGCGGTCTGGTGGCTTGCGCCAAAGGTCTGTGTCTGGACGCGCTGCAAGGGAGAAATACTCCAGGCTTTCCGGTAACGTGTAACCGGATGGTACATTGAGCGCAGTGAATGTCGACGGGTTCGGAGGCATCTTGGCTTCCGATTAAAAAAAAATTTTTGTTTCCCCAGAAACCGGAGTGACCCGTAGGGTTGAGAATTCCCCGTTTTTGACACTCGAAGCTGCCCCGAGGGGGTCCTTCAGCAGGATTATACGGCAAAACGTGAGACTGACTGGCGCCCGAACAAGTGTGTCTTTGTCCGATGTATTATACCCGCTCCCTCCTACCACAACTAGGTCTATATTTCCAACAATGTGTCTTCCGACTTAGCCCAAAGGATAATGCTTGGACAAAGAATACGACTTTCGCAGGGGGCTGGATAGAATGCGCGTGCGTGGTATATATGGGAGCCGTTGGAAATGGGGACACAGATTTAAATATATCGCACGAACCGGGAGGGCCTTCAGCCTCTGGTCGCGTGATGTTTCGAAGATTGGTAGAGAGTTGGCGAGGCTGGACTGGCGAAATGAAATAGGGCGTGGGATGGTAAGCTCTTCCTAGCCGGGCGAGCCGTACAACTTATAGTAGATTAAGGGCAAAGAAGAAATGTGTTCAGAGGAAACCAACTACCAGGAGAGGACTAGGGATTAATAGTCATCATTACCTCATGAAGGAGATGAAAAAGAAATTAAGCTAAGAGAAAAAGGTTCGTCAGTCTGGATATCCATGTTCAAGGAAGGGGGAGCTATTAGCCACCGATGGCGGATTTGTTGCCCTGGTCCAAAAGGCGGATGCTGTGGCTAAAAGACGTTTTTCACACCTCGACGAAGTAGCAGCAGATCAGGTCTTAGCTAGTGACCCACAAAGAAGGCAGCTTTGGTATGCGAGGTCCGTATATGCATGTGTATTTCCATTCACACTGTCGGCACACACACCCACCCCCAGAAAAGGTATAATTATACGCCGGCTGGTCGGTCTTCTCGCTTGAGGAAGGGACCACGTATAGTTACGGAAATATCACAACTGCCAAAGGGTTGCAGGTAGATCTCGACTATGCAGCAGGGGAGTTCCGCGCAGGATATGTAGGACCAGGACCGGGAACACACCCGAAGCCTATATGCAGCTCGAAAAGAAAACAAATGAAAATAAAATTGTTAAAAATAAAGATAAAAAGCAAAGGTCTTCGGTAACGCGGTGAAAAGGCGAATGCTACAAAATACGTACGAAGGGTAAGTAGAGAATATTATGGACTCGACCTGGTACTTATAGCGTAGCATCAACTTGCACCCAAAAATTTGTTACATCCATCAGAGCCTTAAATTCAAGCGTTGGTGCGACAGCTGATGCAGCCAAACCATGATTCGGAGCTATGACACCCTCTAATATTGGTCAATCAGGGTTTGTATTTGGAATAATGCCATTCATTCATCTTCATTTTAAAATTTGCGACCATGATTTGAAGAAGGTGGGTTAGCATCCATCTGGCCAGGCATGGTGTTGCATGTTGTCAAGATATTCAGCAGCGCCGCCTCGCAAACTTTTACCATAAAAATGGATCGCAAGAACAGAGTTACAGAGTCTAGTCACCAATGGCAGATCAGCATTTGTCAAGCTTAGGGCAGATAGTTATGCTCAGACGAAGGACGCCTGGAAGGATCCGCACATGACCAGAACTGCAAAAGCTCTTGTTAAGATTGACTTGGGGTAAATTAGTTACTGAGGCGCTGGAGCTTCATGCATGATGAAAGGCTTCAGTGTCAAGTCTTGGCTCAGCTGGGATGCAAATTCCCAACAGCGCCACCAAATCGACAAGATCGCGAGAGCTTGAGCCGGCCGATTAGCATGTCATATAGTATGAGAAAGGCATCAAGCAGGCGGCCGGGCCTATTGGTAATGGTAGGTTGGCAGACGAGATACTGGAAGAAGAAGATTGCCACTGTTGATAAATTTGAAGTGATAAGAAGATTAGCAAAAGCTGCAATGCCCTTCGAAGCCTGGTGGAAAGGAGTTGATGCACATGAAAATATTCTCCCCACTCACACAGGATGCATGAAGCTTACCATGCCTTTGGTAATTCCGGGTGGCACACCAAGAAGATTTGGCTGTAACGGAGGAGCATTAAGCTTGGGCACGGGAGGGCTGTGACTCCTCCAGGCAATATTTTTCCCGAATAAATCGGGGAAAAAAAGGCGACATAACAAACACGTGCCGTTGGAAGACCAAGGCCATCGGGTGCTTGTTCGGAGAAGAGATCCGCTTGATACGCCACGTTAATATGGGCTATATTTTATATCTAGGAAGTTGGGGTGCTTGGCTCTTGCCCCAGAGGAGGTTTCAAAGACGATTTGATGCCATTCAAGGCTACGTCCAAAGAGATTGACATAATATAACCTCTTATTTGCCGCCCCACGTTATCGTCTCTAGGATTCCGGATATCGGGATAGGGTTGTCAAAGCAATTTGATGCGTTTTCATGACACGCCAATCAGGGCGGGATCACATCGGAAGGCGTCGCCACAGGGTTGTCCCTCCCCCCTCCCTATTTTTTCTTAACTCCCCCCACCGTTTTGTGAGAGGTACTGGGCAAAGTGAGTGTCCTTTCCGAGTAGATTTGCGAAATATTGAGGTTTTGCAGTCTCGGTCTAACAGATCAATGCTCATGCACCATCCATGCATGCATTTAGTTCCAGTGAAGCTAGTTACCAAGGTCAACTCTAACCTTGCCCGAGATAGCTCCACAAGCCGAGACCCCAGGTAACTGTGGCTTTCAGAGTAAATAATAAGAATAATGAGTAATTCGTTCTTCAACCCATGCCATGGACCCCCTGGTGCCCGATATTGCGAATATTCTGTGGTGCCCTGCATCCCTGCCGAAGGCGATTCAACCAAAGAAGCAACATGAAGAATACAGTGTAACTCGGTGGCTGGCACGGTAAATACCGAAATATATTGCGT